GAACAGAGAAAGGAAACACTACATGGTTCAAAATTGGGAAGAGTGTATGCCAGGGATACATCCTATTTCCATGCCTTTTTAATCTATATGTGGAACAGATCATCCAGGAGATTGGACTCTATGAGGAGAAATGTGGCATCAGGATTGGAGAAAGACTCATCAAGAACCTGCATTATGCAAATGACACAACCGTGTTTGATGAAACTGAGGGCCTGAGGCATCTGCTGCAGAAGGTCAAGGACTTCAGTCTTCAATATAGATTGAAGTTCAACATCAAAAAAACGAAGAGTCTCATGACTGGGCCAACTGGCAGCATCATGATAGACAGTGAAGAAATTGAGATTGTTAATAGCTTTAGTTTGCTTGACTCCACAATCAACGTTCTTGGTACTAGCAACCAGAAAATCAAAAGATAAATTGTACTAGGAAAGTCGGCTGTCAGGGACCTCTCCAGAGTGCTGAAGAGGAATGACATCAGTCTGGAGACTAAGGTGAACCTGATCCAGGCCATAGTCTTCACAATTGCTTGCTATGCATCAGAAAGCTGGAAAATGAGTAGGAATGATAGAAGAAAATTTTTCCTTTGAGCTATGGTGCTGGAAAAATGTATTGAATAAACCATGGACTGGTAGAAGAACAAGCATGTTTGACCTAGAGAGGGTGAAGCCAGGCTGCTCCTTGGAAGCAAGGATTCTGAAGCTTCATCTGGCATACTTTGCGCATGTTGCAAGGAGGGACCAGTCCTTGGAGAGAGACGTCATGCTTGGGAGGGTGGAGGGACAGTACAGGAGGGTAAGACCCTCAATGAGATAGATTGAGTCAGTGACTGAGGTAATGGGGGCAGGTGTGTCAGAGACAATATAGTTGACTCAGGATAGAGCAGGATTTCAGAGCTGCTGCACATAGGGTCACTGTGAGTCACAAGTGACGACGGCATGTAACAATAACAACAGCAAGAAATCTCACAGCTGATAATCTTGTTAGTGATGTCAATAAATGGAAACAAAAATCAAATGTGCCTTCCCTTATTATGAAGTAGGTTACTGCTTCTTTTAGGAAAAGCATAGATTTTTTTTTTTGTTAGTTTGTATAATTTGGGGAAGGCATGCTGTGAGGTGTAGATTTTCAACAGGTTGGTTAGCTGACTTGGCTCTCAAACGTACAGGCTGAGAAACCAGGTCTTAGGAGTACCCAGAATAGTCAAATTGAGAAAAATTGACAATAAAATCTGACCATAAATTTACAAGAAGAAGAATTATGTTTTTGATAAGTTACCATTTCTCATGCAGTTTTGATGTGGAGGGTTTCATAGTAAGTACATTTTAGTTTGTTAGACTGCCCTCATCTCTACCACTTACAAGCAAATTATTTAACTCTGCAAGAAAAATGTCTAGCACACATTTTCCAAACCCACTATCACCATGTCAATTCCAAGTTGTTACAACACCTGTAAATGGGTTTCCAAGGTTGTGAATCTTTATGGCAAGAAAATGCTCATTCTTATCCCACAGAGATGTTCGTGGATTTGAACTGTTGAACTTTGAGTTAGCACCCCAACACATAACATACTCTGCCACCAGGAGTTCTTGGTGCATAGTTAGCATTTTATAACTATTTGACACTATTAATTATCACAACACTACTGTAAGATTTCTTCTTGCTACATGCCCTTGAGTTGGCACCTAGGTGACCCGCCAGCAGATTTTCAGAGGCTGTAAGTCACATGAGAGGAGATTACCAACTTTTTCCCAAGGAGCAGCTGAGGGATTTGAACCTGAATCTGTCTTTGGGTGGGTGGTGCAGCTCCTTATGCAATCGTAGACACCATTATTATAACTCTTTTACAGATGAAAAGATAGACTTAAAGGATGTTGAATAATCTGTTTAAAGTTAAATAGGTGTTAAATAAGCAACTAAAATGTAATCAAGACTAGGAATCAGAATTGAGTATTTAAAGCGCCAGGCTGAAAAAGGAATCTGTCCACTTTTTTAATAAAGTCTTTGTAATAAAATGGATGAGCCCTTGCAAAGACATCATGCTGAGAAAAATAGAGGCTGAGAGAAAAAGAGGAAGAGTCTTAACAAGATGAGCTGACACAGTGACTGTAACAACGGACGTGAGCATGTCAGAGATCATGAGGCTGGCACAACGTAGAGTAAGGTTCCTATCTGCAGTTCACAGGGTCATTATGAATATAATCTAGTTGATGGCCTGTAACAACAAGAGGATTGTACCATTCAAAATCTTTTGGCCAAATCTTCTCTTAAGAACAATTCTCAGAGGAACTGTGCTAACATTTGCTCCTGTGATAGTCCTTTTTCATAGCCAATGATTCTTTTTAGCTTTGTCTCCAATTCCCTTGATTAGCGTCTGATGAAAATGGTTCAGGATTATGCAGTGTTTTATTCTGTGATAACACAGATTAACTTGCATTGGTGCTAACTTAATTGTCATTAACTACTGTATGAACATTTGAACCATTAGTGTAACTGACTCTAGTTTTATTTCATTTTAATCAACATGAATTCATTTTTTTAAACTTAAGTTTAAATAGCTATCTGTGGCTAGTGTTCTGTTATACCTATACTTGGACCAAGAGGCGATCGTCAGAACAGAGCAAGGAGACACTGCATGGTTCAAATTTGGGAATGGTGTACGCCAGGGATGTGTCCTGTCTCCATACCTTTTCAACCTGTATGCAGAACAGATTATCCAGGAGGCTGGGCTCTATGAGGAGAAGTCTGGTGTCTGGATTGGTGGAAAATCTATTAACAATCTGCATTATGTAGGTGACACAACCTTACTTGCTGAAACTGAGGAGGACCTGCAGCTCTTGCTGCAGAGGGTCAAGGACTGCAGCCTTCAGTATGGATTGAGACTCAATGTCAAGAAGACAAAGATTCTCACCACTGGACCAATTGGCAGCATCAGGATGGATGATGAAGAGATTGAGATTCTTCACAGCTTTAGTTTGCTTGGCTCCACATTCAACACTCTTGGCACCAGTAGCCAGGAAATTAAAAGATGTATTTCAATGGGAAAGTCTGGGGTTAGGGACCTCTCCAAAGTACTGAAGAGCAATGGTGTCTCTCTGGAGACTAAGGTGCTTCTGATACAGGCCATGGTCTTTGCAATCACAGAGAGGTGGACAATGACCAAGGAGGATAGAAGGAGAATTGATGCCTTTGAGCTGTGGTGTTGGAGAAGAGTACTGAGGGCACCATGGACTGCTAAGAAAACAAACAGATTCATCCTGGAGAGGGTTGAACCAAGCTGCTCCTTGGAGACAAGGATTTTGAGGTTTTGTCTGACATAATTTGGTCATGTTGTAAGGAGAGACAGGTCCTTGGAGAAGGACATCATGCTTGGGAGGTTGGAGGACAGGCGCAGGAGGGGAAGGCCCTCCATGAGGTGGATTGATTCAGTGACTGGGGTAATCGGGATGGGTGTGTCAGAGACAGTGAGATTGGCACAGGACAGAGCAGAGTTTAGGGCTGTTGTACATAGGGTCGCTATGAGTCGCAAACGACCTGACGGCGCATAACAACAAACAACATCTGTGGCTAGTAGCTAACATTTGGACAACCCAAATCTTGTGAAAAATAATAAGTTTAGGAAAAAAATAAGATTGTTGTTCATCCTTAAGATAGAAGCAAAAAGACTCAATCAGTCTTTGTATGAGAACATCCCATGTGACTTTCACTCAGAAATAAGGACTCCCTGGCTCATTTAGTTTTTATTATAGAAATTGCTGAGGGCAAAAGATAGCCTAGGTATTTTAGAAAAACTCAGTGGGACATTCAGGAGGTAGAACATTTGAAGCTAGTATGCATTATGGTTTTTAGTAACCACAGATCTATTCTACTCAAGTCTTCTCAAGGCAGGATAGTGCTTTCTTGTCAATTAAGACAAGTGCATCTTAGTTTTTCAACCACAAGATTTTGTGTCAGAGGGTCTGGGTTAAAGTCCCAGCTTTAATTGTGAGATTGTAAACAGCCCACTTAAAATCACTGGACTGCTTTTATCCATTAGTAAAACAGAGGTGAAGACAATCAACTTCATAAGTAATACCACTGTTAAAGGGCACGCTTGAAGCTTAATTGAGAGAGTGCCTATTCTAGCAGTGGTTAGAATGTTTATATACAGCACCTTGGCCTTTTTAAAAGCACTTTCATAATTATTATATCTTTTTATCTTCACCACAGGCCTGTAAAGGAAGTAGGGCGGGAAGTATTATCTATGAATTACCATCTGTTAATGTCGTCAAATGGGGCCCATGGAAGCTGAGAGACTGCCCAGGGTTACATAGCGCAACTGGCTATATTGTATCTGGACTCAGCTCCGAAGTTAACAGCTCTTGTCTGAAAGTCTGTCTTTCAGAAAACAGCTGATAGACACAGGCTCGGTATCCAGAAGTTATGGTGCAGGATAAAAATATAATTGTTTCTGTGCCATAAGCAACTCAAACATAGTGTGAGTTCCAAGCTTGAATAATCCTTCTAGTCATAAAGCATTGATGGCTAGCTATTCACTGTGGCCAAGGAAGGGCTCTAGATCTATGAGGTTGTATAATTATCAGCCCCATTTTACAGCTGGAGAAATCAAGGCTGATAATTGGTGAGGAATTTGTCCATCAACCACAGAGCTAATAAGTAGAAAGAGTCTATATTCAGAACTCACACTGTTAACCGTTGTGCTTGATTGTTTCCTGATGTCATATTTGTGTTATTTTGAATCCATTTGGTGAAAATGGCTATCAAGAGCCAGTATAGGGCACTTACCCCCAAAATCTACTTTCAGAGCCACTAAGCAGAGAAATCTACTCTCTGAAATTGTTCCCTGAAAATGTTTATCTAAGAGACAGGTTTCCAGCTTACTAGGCAATTTGGCATCAAGGCCTTGTCTCATAAACATTTACAAATATTCTGCTCTGTAATGAAGTTAATCAGTAAACTGCACAACCTCTGGCCTCTGTCACTTCTTACCTAGTCTCATTTTCAGTTGCTGTGAAAAAGCAAAGAATGGTAATGCAGTTTCAGGGGCTAGAAAATTCCATTCAAAGTAGTCCTCGCCCCAGCCACTCAGCGTCAGGAATCATCATGGAAATGATTGGCATGAAAACTGCTAAAGGTAGGACTGAGGTGCCTGAGATGTCCTATCTGGACTGAGGAGCTCTGGGGCTCGTTTGCTGTTACAGTAACAGAACACTATCAAAGATGGCTTGATAAGACTCAAAGTCTAGGGGTAAAAGTTTGGGGAGGGTGATTTTTAGAGGTTTGTAAGAAGGTCAGAAGGACCCCTGGTGGCACTGTGATTAAGTGTTGGGCTGCTAGCCAAAAGGTCAGTGGCTTGAGTCCATCAGCCCTTTTGTAGGATAAAAATATGGCACTTGCTTGTTCTACTCTGTCCTTTAGGGACACTTTGATCAGACTCAAAAGTTTTGGGTTTTTTGAGGGGGTTTAAGATAATTAATATCTAACTGACATTAACTCTGTGTGAATTTTCTCTAAAACTCATCATTGGACATTGTGTTAAATTAACATCATTCTTTAAAGTGAAACATTAGGCAAGTCTTGCATTTATGCTTATGGACACTTGTGCAAATATTTGAAAAACAGTATTTTTAAAACTGCAAGCCCCAGACCTCAGTGAGTCTTGAAATCTCTATCATGATTTTGTGGCTGGTGTGAGAAACAGAAATAAAATAAAATAAAAGAAAATCACAGGACCCTGTACCTTAAGAAGTATGCATGAGTGTTATTTCATGGATGTTCTATTCCAGTTACATGCGTGTGTGTTCCAGGGTCATGACTTATGATGTGTTTTCATACGATGTACAAGTCAAGTCTTCGTTGCTGGAACTGACTCTTAACTGATCCTCCAGTGGGTTTTCAGAGGTTGTAAATCACACTGGAGGAGATCCCCCATCTTTCTCCCTCAGAGAATTCAAACTGCTTGCCTTCGAGTTTGCAGCGCAACTTCTTAGCCAATAGACCATCAGAACTCCCACTGCTATGGCTAGTGGCATTCAGAAAGGACTGAGAAAAACCAGTAGGATCTAGTTTCAGAGCAGATGAATCCAAATAGCCTATGGCAGGTAAGCTGAATGTGTAGTTGCGTTTTAGGTTTATACGAATTGTTTTTTCTGAATTACAGGTAACATAAGTTAGAATTAAGACAATGACAATACAATTCTGTCCATCTTAATACTGTTCTCAAAACAGAAATTCGCCTTTATATTTCCAGAGGAAAGAGACATACCAGACATTTGTTGCAGTTTTGATCATATTATTGACCGTAGTGTTGGCAGCTAACCGTTTTATTTGAATGTGATGTTTGAAAGTGACTGATAATGTACTTGGAAATGGAAATTGTTTGGAATACTGGGGAAACAAAGGTTCCTTTAATTTCAATTGAGCAAACATTTCCTAAACATTTACTGTGTGTCTGAGAATAGTGTTAGGTGCTAGGAATGAACAAAAAAGGGGGAAACCAGATAAAATGGGGACAATAACAACAAAGGGTTGAATGTTTACAAGGTGACAGTTATGACGTCATCTATAACCATTGTCTTAGCTTGCTTTTACTCGAGCATCTCACAAGTACTATTTGCTGCAAGGTGCTGTCAAGTCTACCCTGACCCACAGCAACCCTGTGAACAACTGATCCAAACCTTGCCCTAAACCGCACCCTCCTCCTCATATCCTCCAAGCTCCAGCCCATTATTACAATCTCTGTGTCAATCCATGTCTTTGAGGATCTTCCTCTCCTATGCAGACCTTCTACTTTTCCAATCATGCGAATGAATGCACGTTTATAGATGAAGAAATGGAAGTTTGAAGGAGTTCCGTGTCTGTCCCAAATTCTCACGTTTGGTAATTTAGGATTAATTGAATCCAGACACACCCAGCTGAGCCTGGCATGCGTCACCAGTATCTTCTCTACTAGGGTTTTAGAGTGGAAGATAACCACATGAACAAATCACGCAGTTGCCCATGCTTCTGATAAGTGCAAATAGCCGCGGTGCGTACAGAAGATAGGAGAGATTCATTCCACCTGTGGGAACTGAATTTGGCTTCGGAGAGGACAGTAAGCAGTTGACGAGGCACCAACGCTGCAAAGGTCAGGACCCAGGGCTTGCAAACTGCTTTACAAAATGAAGCCATGTAATCTAGTCAAGAAACCATAGATTAGGCAATAAGGAAAGGCAATTTTTCCATTCACTCTGATTCAACGAACATTTATTAAACATTTACTATGCTCAACATTGTGCCAGGGATGGGGGAGAAAAAAAAATGGAGATAAGCTAAGTGATTTCTCAGATGTGTCAGAAACTGTGAGATCACAGGAATGTGTCACTCTTATTGCATAAGAAGGATTCTCCCATTTGGGGACACAGTGGTTCTGAGCACAGACACCTTACAGCTGCTGTCCAGCATGGCGGTCACTTGCCATATTGTCTTTTTCCTTTTAACTTTGTATTACTTGAAATGAAATAAATGTCAAACTCAGTTCCTTGGTTACATTCACTACATTTCAAGCACTCAGTATCCCCCTGTGGTTGTTCTTAGCTGTCTCATCTCAAGGCTAGTTCATGCCCAACAGAACAAAACCCTGCTGGATGTTTCCCAGGATTGATTACAGATCAGATTCCTGTGATGCTGAGAGTTTCTGTTGATGTAGATCACTGGGTCTTTCTACCTAGCCCCTTTCAGTCTAGAAGCTGAGCTGGATTCTGTTCAACATCAAACAACATGCAAGTTCACTTTGGTTGACCAGCAGTGACTTTTCTTGAGGTCTGTTGGTCAGGCATTGAGCCTGGATCACCTACATGGAAAGGCAGAATCCTGCCACTCAACCACTGACACCTCCCATGTGGTCATTGGGTACCACAGTGGACGGTATAGGTTTAGAATGCTTCCCTCTTCTTGGAAAGTTCTCTGAGATGCTCCGTGGGACCTCTGATGGTCTAGTGGCAAGAAGCTGTGCTGAAATTCCAAAGGCCCGTGGTTGGAGGCTAACAGCTGCTCTGCCAGAGAAGGATGGGCAATCTCCTCTCATGCAATTACCTACCTCTGAACACCCACCCGAGGGCCAGCTATGGGTTTGTTCTGACTTGATGGCACACAAAAACAACATTTCAGAAAATTCTCTTAGATGTCACTGCTTTAGAGAATCTGCTGAAACCTGGAGAAGTCCTAGCCAGAAGAATTTTGCCTCCCATGTAAGGAATTCCTTTGGAGTCCATCTCCGCTTAAGAACTCCTCCCTAACAGTCATGAAAAATTTTCTGCCAGATGCATAGATAATGCCAACCCCAAAACGTGCAGTTCAATTTCTCCAGCTGCTGCTCAAGATAAAAATGAATAATCTCTTCCCTTGTGATTTACTGCCTCTGAAAACCTCTTCATTTTCTTGATGTTGAGCTTCAATCTGTATTGAAAACTATCATCTTTGACCCTCTGCAGCAAATGCTTCAGGCCTTTCTCAGTCTCAGTAAGCAAGGCTGTGTCATCTGCACAATGCAGGTTGTTGATGAGTCTTGCTCCAATCCTGATGTCACATTCTTCCTCATAAAGTCCAGTCTCTCACATGATATGTTCTGCATACAGATTGAAAAGGTGCAGAGACAGGATGCATCCCTGACACACACCTTTCCCGATTTTGAACCATGCAGTGTTTCCTTGCTTTGCTGGAAGGGCTGCTACCTGGTCCAAGTACAGGTTTTGCATGAGCACGATCAGGTGTTCTGGGATTCCCATTCTTCTCAAGGTTAACCACAATTTTCTGTGATCCATACAGTCAAATGCCTTTGCGTAGTCAATGAAACACAGACATTCCTCTGGTACTTCCTGCTTTCAGCCAAGATCCATTTGACATTAGCTATAACATCCCTAGTACTGCCTCTTCTAAACACAGCTTGTATTTCTGGTAGTTCTCTGTCAGTGTACTGTTCCAATCACTTTTGGATAATCTTCAGCAGGATTTTTATTACTTCCTTTTCCTCTTCTATTATTAATATTCTTATCATTCATACTCATTGTGTTTCATGCATGTACATTGTGGGGTTGGTTTTTTTTTTTTTTTATTTTTGTGTGTCTGTACTGTCAAATCAGATCTGACTGGTACAGGAGGAGATTGCCCCTCCTTCTCCAGCAGAGCATCTGGTGGATTTGAACCGTGCACCTCTGGGATTGCAGTGCAGCTTCTTGCCACTAGGCCACCAGAACTCCTTGTACATTGTAATTTTTTATTATTGTTATTATTTTTGTGTGAGTGTACCATCAAATCAGATCTGACTGGTACAGGAGGAGATTGTCCCTCCTTCCTCGGCAGAGCAACTGGTGGATTCGAACTGTGCACCTCTGGGATTGTAGTTGCAGCTCCTTACCATTAGGCCACCAGAGCTCCCCTTGTACATTGTATTTTTACAGTCTTTCATTTAGATAATATTTCATTCATCTATGTTGTGGAGTTCCCCACCCCCTTACAAGCATCCTCCTAGTCACTGCTTTAGTGAAAGCGTGTAAGACAGTTATTTCATACCTCATGCCTTTATATCCCCGTCTTAGATCTCCAGTCCCTATCAAAGCAGTACTCTGAGGGATCAAGCATGTCCTTTTTTTTTTAGTTTTTTTATTGGTTTGCATACAGTCATTTGTTTACATTGTGTTTCATTCATAAACATTAGGGGTTTTTACCCCTTTCCTCTACCCTACCACACTCTGATACCCCATGATTTTCCATCACCCAACCTTCAGCCCCTCTGCTCCTTCCCTTCCCTCTTGGTATACCCATCCACACCTTACTCATTATCCTTCTGGTTTTTTTACAATGATGATCTTATACAATATTTGTTCTTAACACATTGCTGCAAGTGACGACGGGAAAAAAAAAGTGTTTCTAAGCACGGTCTCAACTTAAAAGTGTGCAGCAACGTGTTAAGCACATCCTTTTTGCTGAAGGATTCTCTGTTCAGCTTTAAAACTTTGAGTATCTATATCCACAAACCAAGGCCAGTCCAGAACAAGCCATATGCTTGCAGCAATCTACCCTGGCAAACACCTTGAATCATCTTCTCTTCTTCTACTCGGGTTCTGGTCATGCCCAGCCAACTCATCCCCGGCTAGCTAGGTTCAAATGGGCATCAGCCATAAGCTTGGGAGCACATACTTCTCCCTGCAATCCAGACCTGATGGCCTCCTCACTTAGTCCTAGCCCCCACATGGGGCCAAACCACGTCAGTGAGTCAGGGGCTCCTGTTCCTCCAGCCTTCTCTGCTCATCCACACATCCGTGCATCACAGGTGTGCAGTGGGCAATTGACTTTTCAAATTTCTTTTTCTCAAGAATTTTATTTTACAGCTACCCCATGGAATAGCAAAGCTGACGTAAAATGATAGGCAGATTTGAAGGTTACTTGTAGAAATTGTTCTACTCTCACTATTTCAAATTGCACTAGCTACACTTTTTGCTTGATTCTAATTTGCCTTGTATATACATCTTCTCTACTTTGTGGAGACCTGGTGAGGGAGGACACTGAAATATTAGAAGTGAAGGTGCTTTAGGAATAATAGCATTGCTTCATTAACATGTTGTAACATTCATACTTTTCCTGTTAAAATCATTATCCAACTTGAGTTAGGATCCAATTATGTCTCTTGATAGTGAAAACATTCATTTTGTTGAAACAGTGTTTGGAAAACTTAATTGCCATTCTGCAGGAAGGAGGGGGAAAAACCCCCAATATAGCTACTTAAGTACTAAAGAATATAGATTTTTATCATTTATTGACTTCTGGGACTTGGACAAGTTGCTTAACCTTGCTAATACTAGACTTAGGGTCTGTGAACAGAAAGAAATTAGATTGGGAGAACTCAGTAAAATGGGATAAAAGTGAGACATAAAGGAAATGAATACTTTTTAGTTCTCTCCAATCCTACTCACTAGTGAAATTTTAGTCCTATTGGGTTATGAAATAGACCAGCTTTTGCTTATATTTTTATCCTTTATTTTGTCTCTGACAGTCCCTTATTTTTATTCTGCTTTGTCATCATAAGACAAAGCACCACTGCCGAATATTTTATCTGTCAGATACACGTTTCAAGGCGAGTTTTAAATGGATAAGTCAGGCTTGAAAGAGAGAAAACGGATTTTTTTCCCTAGACACTGTGTTCTCTGTGCTCTGCCAATCATTTCTCAAGCCAATACAGAAAGCGTTGTGTGGTTTTTTTTTTTCCCCCCAGCAAATCTTTAATATATCTATATGCCCCTTTGTCATAGTAGCAAAGTCTTGGATGCTAATGTCCATAAACAGATTCATGAAAATTTCAAGTATAAAAAAAAGTATATAATATCAAGTGGCATAGAAGCTTCTCTTAACAGATAAGCAAAGGGAGGCCCAGGATAGGTGGTTAAGTCATGGGTTTTTTTTAAGGCAATATAACAAGATTCAGAATTATGGCTTAGATGTCAGGCAAGACCAACTCTAATTTACTTAGAGAAACAAAGTTCCCCACTTTCTCATGATTCATCGTATTAAAAATAATAACTATTGGATTGGTTCCAACTCAGTGACCCTACATTGAATTTCCAAGCCTGCCAATCTTAATGCGAGGAGACTGCCCGAATTTCTCAAGCAGGTCCACTGGTGGATTTGAATGACTGGAGGCGTAGACCTTTTGTTTATCAGTGCAGTATTCTAGAAACTGTCACAGGTAATAAATGGGACCACAGAAGTGCCTGACACTAGAAAGGACAGGACTCTATAATATGCTTCTACTGATAAAAATGTAAATTGTATTTTAAGTACTAGAAAGAGCTATCTACATGTATAGGTGCGTAAGTCCTCAATCTTTTATTGAAAAGGCCAAAATTCCAAAAGATCTGAAAAGCAAACTTTTGAAGAAAGGCACAATCTCACTGGTCAGCAAACCCTAACTTTATTTCATTTAGTGTGATACTCTTAAGTTTCACTGTGGATAATATTGCTGCCAACTCAAAAGTGAAAGGTTCAAATCTCCATCTGCTTCAAGGGAGAAAGATGGGCAGTTTTCTCTGGTGCTGTCTACAGCATTTGAAAACCAGCTGAAGAGTCAGCTATGAGTTGGTTCAAACTAGCCAATACTGAGTTTCACTTTTTTTAATAGGTTCAATTCAGGATCAGAAATTACTCAAGATACATTTAAATGTTTTGTAATACGTAATTATTCCCGATGTCCACATAATAATAGTGTTGTTGTTGTTGTTATGTGCCGTCGAGTCGTTTGCGACTCAGAGACCCTATGTACAACAGCCCTAAACCCTGCTCTATCCTGTGCCAATCTCATTGCCCCCGACACACCCATCCCGATTACCCCAGTCACTGAATCAATCCAGCTCATAGAGGGTCTTCCCCTCCTGTGCTGTCCCTCCACCTCTCTAAAGACCTGTCTCTCCTTACAACATGTCCAAAGTATGGCAGGCGAAGCCCCAGAATCCTTGCCTCCAAGGAGCAGCCTGGTTTAACCCTCTCTAGGATGAATCTGTTGTGGTTAAATTAATTCAAACTGATGGTGAAATGATGTTTGCTTTGCCAGTTATATAAATAATGTAATAAAAAATGTTTGATTTCCCAATACTGTGTATCATCAAACTTTTTAAACTTTCAGCTTTTGAGGATGAAGAAATATTAGAATAGGACTTTTAAAATTGGGTCAATTCTTCGGTTTATAATTAAAAAAAATTTTCACTCCTCTTCTTTATAATTTTTTCATCTATAAGGTTCTTAGGTGTTTTCTTATTGCTTTGTGAGTGCTCTTTACATATTTATGAGTTTTTTGCTCTGGTCTCTATGTTGCAGATATATTTCTGAGCTTTAAATGTGCCATTTAATTATTTTTATAGATTTTTTTCTTGCTGTATAAAAGTTTCTAATTTTTATATAATCACATATCCCAGTTTGGGCATTCACTTTGCTAATTATTATGCTAAATGTTCTATTTTGTAGAATAACATTAATTCCAAGTTTTTTGCCATTTTTTTCCTAGGTGTACTCACAGAACAAGCAGCAGGTTCTCTGGGACAGAATCTAGATGTGGAATTGTATTCACAATACAGCAATGCTCAGTTTTCCCAAGTTCAGCCACAAATTTCCTCATCATCTTATTATTCCAACTTGGGCTTCTACCCTCAGCAGCCCGAAGAATGGTACTCTCCAGGAATTTATGAACTCAGGCGAATGCCATCTGAAACTCTCTACCAGGGAGAGACTGAGGTTGCAGAGATTCCTGTCATCAAGAAGGCTCGAATGGGCCCGTCAACAGGGAGAATAAAGGGGGACGAGCTGTGTGTCGTTTGTGGAGACAGAGCATCTGGATACCATTATAATGCGCTCACCTGTGAAGGGTGCAAAGGTAAGCATCTTTTCCTTGGCAATTTTTCTATGTTTAGGCATCACTGTTTTGTTGCTGAAATCTTTTGAGCTTGATTCTTCTACTTCCTTTGATAACTTCCTATTTCCTCCTTTCCTTTTCCTACCTGCTCATCTTTGCTGGGCTGTCATAGGTCTCTAGGATAAATTCCTTGGATAACACTTAGCTTCGCTAAGGCTGTCTCCTATCTACAATCTCATTCATAGTTAAAGGGAATTGTGATTCAATTTAGTTAGCTGTAAGTTTTATTGCAGCACTTGACTACTAACTGAAAGATGAGCTATTTGAAGATACTTAAAAGAGTCTTGGAAAAAAGTCCTGGCAATTCATTTCCAAAAGATCATAGCCTTGAAAAACCTCTGGAACACAGTTCTACTCTGCAACATGTGGCGTCTCCATGAGCAGGAATTAACTGCAAAGGGGTGTGGGCTTTGGTTTGGTTGGTTGTGTGTGTTTTGTTTTTTGTAATTTTTTAAAAGTATGATAAATTATTGATCTCACTTCTTTCAAAATCAAGATTAAAGTGACTAAAACATCAATTATTAAAATAAATATCAATAAAATCAATATCTTAAAGTACCTTTTCATGTTATTTCATTAACTGAGAAAGAATCAGCAAGAAAAACAAAAGGAGAAAAGAGAAGAAATTATAAATATTTCATTTGGCAAGCACCCAGCTGGATCTGGGAGAAATCATAAGGAAAAGATAATTAGTTGAAAATACAAAAATATAACACATCATATTAAAAAGTTTCTATAGAGTTCTATGTGAGTTTCCTCCCAAGAGGACATAGATAAAAATGTAAAATTTCACAGGAAAGAACAGAGTTACTTAGTAGGATTATCCATATATGTTGTTGTTGTTATGTGCCGTCGAGTCGCCTGCGATAGTCTTGTATTTATTCATTCAGCAACCATTGAATGCACACCATATGGACTTTATCATAACAGCAAGGAAACAAAAATTTTCACCACTGTACTGATAAGCAACATCATGATGGATGGAGAAAAGATTGAACCTGTCAATTACTTCCTCTTATTTGGATACACAGTACACTTAGTCAGCAGTCAGGAGATCGGAAGACTTACTGCTTTGGAAAGGTCTGCAGTCAGAGACCTCTAGTAATTATTGAGGAGTAATGATATCAGTTTGAGGACTAAGGTATTCCTGATTCAAACCGTGGTCTTTCCAATCACTTGCTATGCATCTGAAATCTGAACAATGAATGAGGATGACAGAAGAAGAATGGATGCCTTTGAACTGTGGTGGTGCAGAAGAGTACCAAATATCCCATGGACTGCCAAAAGAACAAACAGGTATGTCTTGGAGAGAGTGCAATCAGAGTGCTCCGTGGAGGCAAGGATGATGCCGCTTCATCTTACCAATTTGGGGCGTGTTGCTAGGAGAGACTATTCTTTGGAGAAGGACATCATGATTGGAAAGGTGGAGACATGGTGAAGGAGAGAAAGACCCTCCGCCAGAAAGATTGACATAGTGACTGCAGCAATGCGCTTGAGTGTGTCAGAGATTGTGAGGATGACACAGAACAGAACAGGGTTCAGATCTGTTTCTCATAGGGTCGCTATGTGACATACTCGACTTGAGGGTACTTAACAACAATGATTCTATTTGACATTTATTAAAATGAATGAAAGCCCTATTACTTGGCCTATGCAGAGTAATAATACTCAAAAGATTTCCCATGGACTAGCAGCAGCAAGACAGTTGGGAACTTGTAGAGACACAAATTATTGGGCCCTACTCCGGACCTGCGGAGTCAAAGTCTCCAGGATTCTGTGTTGGTTTTGTGTGGGTTTTTTTTTAAATTTATTTTATTTTATTATTTTGTGTGTGTGTGTACCGTCAAATTGATTCTGACTGGTGCAGGAGGAGATTGCCCCTCCTTCTCCAGCCGTGTACCTCTGGGATTGCAGTGCAGCTTCTTGCCACTAGGCCACCAGAGCTCCCTAAGGATTCCGTGTTTTAATGAACCCTCTTAGGTAAAGTGAAAGAATTAGCCCTGGTGGTAATTCATTGCGTGTTGGGCCGATAACTAAAAAGTTGATGTTACGAGAGGAGAAAAACAAGGCAGTGTCCTCTCATTAAGATTCCTAACATCGGAAAAGCAATGAAAGGTTGTTGTGAATCAGAATTGATTCCATGACTCGGAATTTGGTTTTAGTGTAAACTTTACCTGGAATGTCCCCAGGGCAACTCATGGCCACACAGCTTGGATACGTGCCGTGATTGTAAAAATGTATAGGATGATAGCAGCACAGGAGAGGCTATCCTCCATTAGATCACCAAAAGGCATGTTCACTACTATTAACTAAATGAGAAAGAGAAAATCCTTTAAACCATGTTTTCTGCACGACGATAAGAACATGCATATTTTATTCTGCAATTCTAAATCAAAAGAAAAACCCATCGTAAGTCTTTTTTTATCTAGAAATTTACATTTCTACAGCATATCAATGATTATGGAAGACAGTCTGCAAACATTTCTTCTGTCCTTGAAGGAACTCTGAAATGTAGCTATATCATTGTGCCTATTTTAATGTCAAGAATTATGCATGACCAGGGCTATGAGTTTTATTCTTCCAGCCATGATAATATTAACTCTCCTTAAATGACTGGGCACCCAAAATATACTGCCCTCAAGTAAGTTCTAATTAGTAGGTCCCTCCAGGTTGGAAGCAGGAGTGGCGTCCACTTCCTAAACAACATGCCTCTGGAGCCTCTTTGAACTTTGATAAATGTCCATAGTTGTGGAGGGGCTTTAGACCTTCTGTTCATATGGTCGCTGTGAGTCATCGTGCTCAACTCGAAAGCAATCAACAGCAACAACAACAGATCCCTCCACCAAGACCCTCCACTTTGAACTTCTGATACTGAAGTTTCTTGGAGAAATTGAGGGTCGGGATATGGTCCTCAGTGCTGTTGTCAAAACAATCTGAAATCTGCTTGGAGCGTTCTTTTCCATCTGATCTCAGCTGTGAGTATGAAAGGTCTCTGCAGCATCAGCCTGGGGTCTTGAACCCTCTGATCCTTCATGGTTGGTCTCTTTTGCTTTAATTTTTTAGTGGTTTCTGTTGTTGCTCCAGGCTTGTCCTTGAAGGTATATTATTGCCCAGAGACACCATCCACCATTGCATTTGCTCCTATGCCACACTGGAGCAGGGCACTCTGAGGGTTTCCCTAAGCTATTCAGTAAAGAGAATCCAAATTTGTTGTCATTCTCCTGTCAATCCTCACATACCAGGACTCAGTCCGGGGATGAAGGTAGAAGGAAAAGAGATCAGCATCTTCTTCTGTGCTATCATCTCAAAGTTATTTTAATTCCTTCTTTATTTATTTTAGTTTGGGAAAATTTTATTTCATGTCTGGAATCTTGGGATTCAGGCTGTGGTAATGGAAAAGCCAATCATTTACTTCTTTGTGTTTTTAATGTTTTCTTTGATAAAACAGATGGAAATTTGCCTAACTTAGTGACTAAATGGAAATTTGCCTAACTTAGTGACTGGGTAAAAGGAGCAGTCAAAAAAATCAAATGGCATAGTATATAGGGTAAATAACCTACCAACGAATTTTTTTAAAGTATTAAAGAATAAAAATTTCACCTTAAAATTCAAAATGCACCTGGCCTCAGCTGTGGTGTTTATAATCTCCTGTTATGCATCTGAAAGTTGGGCAATGCATATGGAAGACCAAAGAAGAAGAGTTGATGCCTGTGAATTGAGGGGTTGGCCAGAATATCAAATGCACTGTGAACTGCCAAAAGAACAAACTAATCTATCCTGGAATAAGTGAATCACCAAGCTCCTTAGAAGCAAGGACGATGAGACTTTGTTTCACATCCTTTGAGCCTGTTCCTGGAAAAGTATATTCATCTTGCAGAATAAAATAAAATAGTAAAAGAGAGGCGAATACTCAGTGAGACGGGTTGACACAGTCACCACCATAATGACATTCAGTAGAGCAGAGGTTGAGAGAGTGGTGTAAGATCAGACAGGGTTTTATTCTGAGGAACACAGGGATGTTATACATGGAGGCTCTGTGAGGTGCAGCCAACTTGATGGCACCTAACAATAACAATGAGTAAAAGGAGCCCCGGTGACATGGTATATGTTTCATTGCTAACCAAAATGTCAATAGTTCAAATCCACCAGCTACTCTCCATCCTGAAGATGAGCAATCTCCTCCCTTAAAAGATTCACAACCCAAAACCAAAACAAAACAAAAGATGGGCAATCTTGGAAACCTTTTGGAGGGTTGTTATGAGTTGGAGCTGACTATATACATCAGTAGAAGTGGCCTAGTGGTAAGAAGCTGTGCTACAATGCTAACGGTATGCAGTTCAAATCAACCAGCTGCTCCATGGGAGAAAGATAGACAGTCTCCTTCCAAGGGTTAGCTGCCTCTGAAAACCAGCTGGAGTGTCAGCTATGAGTAGCTTCCTACTCGACAGTATACAAAAAAGAGTAACAACACATCTGTAAGCATGGCTTTGAGTTAGCGACTAGGAAAAGAGAAAGGGCTGCAAGGGAAAATCTGAGAAGGCTTACGGAATAAGGTAGAGCGCAACGGAAGAAAGTGTCTTCCACTTTCACAGAGATATTTTTTTTTTTCTTACCAGATGCAATTTTACTCCATAACTGCCCACTGTGGGGGTTTGTACTTCAGGATCTGATGGACATGCATTAAATCTTAATTAATATACCAGAGTTCAGTCAGAAACAAATCTTAGACTGAAAGGAATCATTGGGTGCCAACAAGTTGGTTTGATCTCAAAAAACATGCTTAAACTTCCTGATTTCATTGATCTCAGTAACTATTTCCATTTGTGATATACAAACATTTCTGAATGTTTTATTTGTCATAACTGTTTATGGTACTGTTGACAGACTAGTGATTTTCAATGTGTATGTGTGTGAGCATTGGATTTAAGTGGTAACTGCAGAACAGTAGCGTGGTGGAGAGT